AAAAAAAAAAAAAAAAAAAAAAAAAAAAAAAAAAAAAAACCAACCCTGAATATAGATCTGCCACATGGTACAGCTCTACGAGTCTTGGGTATCCACCCAAAAGATTCTGTATGGTACTGTAGAGACACCTGCTCATCCTTGTTCATTGTGCTCTGTTCACAATATCGAGGAAACATCCTGGATGTCCATTCACTGATAACTAGATAGTGAAAATGTGATGTATGCACACAATGGAATATTATTATTCAGCTCTTGAGAAAAATGGAACTGGGGCTGGAGAGACGGCTCACCAGTTAGGAGCACTTTACTCTTGAAGAGGACCTAGGTTCAGTTCCCAGTGAAGGGACCAGCTCCCCATTTCGGCAGCCATGACAGTAACACGTGCTTGCCATAACCTTGCCTTGGTCACTTAGAGGTCAGATGCCTGCCTCGTGACAGAGAACCAATCAGAAGTTAGCTGGTGGCGCTATGCTTTACGACCCTGGGTGTACTTTACGGACAAGCGCCCAGCAATGACACACAGAGCATAGCAACCACCCTGGGAGTGCCTAGGGGCCATAACAACTAGTTGGCTAATCAACACAGGGCAAGCCCTCCAAGCCTGGAGGCACACCAATCCTGAGTCTGTGCATACCCTTAGACACTCCCCTTACGCTGCCCTACAAGATCTCTCGGCTGCCCCTAGGAGCTGTCTTTTGTAGCCAACCACCATTGTGGGTGGACAAAAGACCCGAGCTAACATGGGGTTAGCTCGTTAAAAAACAATAAAGCCTCATGCAGTTTGCAGCAAGCTCTTGAATCTGCCTGGTGATTGGGGTGACCGCGGTCGTGGCCTGAGACCCCAGATACCTGAGTTTTCTGGGGGTCTAACACCAGCAATCACATGGTGGCTCTCAGGCATCTATTAGCTCCAGTTCCAGGGGACCCAATGCCTTGTTCTAACTTTTCTGGGCATTGGGCATGCACATATGCAATACTCATTTTTTAAAAAAATGTCTTTTTGTATTGCCTACTACTTTTAGTATAGCTCCAAACAACTGAATATTAGATTAATTGCTTTTCTCATCACTGATACTAAATACTCAACAAGAAGCAACTTAAGGGACAAAGGACTTCTTTTGGTTCATGATCTCAGGAGCCACTGCCCTTCATGGCCAGGAAGACATTGGTGGCAGGAGTATGTGGCAGCAGCTTGCACACCTCAGAGCACCAGGCAGCAGAGATGGGTCAGGAAGCAGGGCTGGACTATAAAACATCAAGGTTATTTGCCCAGCAACTGACTTTCTCCTTCTAGGAACCATCTCCCCAAGGTTCCACAACTTCCCCACATAGTACCACCAGCTGGGTCCCAAGTATTCAAACACTTGATCCTGTGGGGGACATTTCACATCCAAACCACAACATGTATCTGTTGGCATCCCTATCAGTGCCTTGTTGTGCCATCATTGCATGGCATTCACCATAGGATTGTGGGCATATGTTGTTCCTCAAGTGCATAGACAAGTCTACCTTAACCTTTACCATTTCTTTCAGTAGCAATGATGGAACCACAGCTTCCCAAAGAAGACCAGGAAGAGGCAGAAAAAGCCTCTGGCATTGTAGTGGATGATGAGCAGCTGGATCCAGGATCGGATGGTGATATGTGAGTAGGTCACAGACAAGTGACATAGAAGATGGCCCATAGAGTCCTACTTAAGAGGACCAAGTTTTATAACATAAATGGATTTGTTTGAGCTATGTCTCTACTTCTCACTTCTCTGTGCTGTGCATGTGTGTGCAGAGATGCCTGTGTGTCTGTGTCTAGCAGAATTTTTTTCTGTCCTAGAGTGTAAGATAGCTTTACACAGGGGTACACATCTATAATCCCAGCATTTGAGAGTTATAGGCAGGAAGGCAAGGGGTTCAAGAATTCAGTGTCATCTTGAGCTGCAAGCAAACTCAAGGCCAGTACAGGCTCCATGACATCTTGTCTCAACTCTCCCCCACAAAATGATGAGTTGCCAGTTGGTGGTGGTGCATGCCTTTCATTCCAGCACTCAGGAGGCATGCAGATCTCTGTTGAGTTTGAAGCCAGCATGGTCTACACAGTGAGTTCCAGGACAGCCAGGGCTGTTACAGAGAGAAACTCTTGTCTCAAAACAAACAAACAAAAAACCCAACCCCCCAAACTCCAATACACACACACACACACACACACACACACACACACACAGGCCACATATTCTTTATTTGCACACTGATGATGAATTTTTATTTGTTACAGGATTGATGTTTCATGTTGTTAGGCTATAGACAAATCATTTCAAATGCCCTTCCTATTTCAGCTTCCCCTGTATTGGGAAACAGTCATGTTTCATTGTACCTGGTGGTTTAAAAGGGACTTTCCCGTAAATTGAATTTCCTTCTATAGGTACCACTTAACTTTACAGTTATTGGTGATACAGTTTTTGTCTTTTGGCAGCACTAGGGACTGAACCTAAGACCTTATATATCTTTTTCTTTCTTTTTCATTTTTGTTTTTTGTTTTTTCAAGACAGGGTTTCTGTGTATTGCTTTGGAGGCTGTCCTGGAACTCGCTCTGTAGACCAGGCTGGCTTCGAACTCACAGAGATCCGCCTGCCTGCCTCTGCCTCCCGAAAGTGCTGGGAGTAAAGGCGTGTACCACCAACACCAACATCCTTATATATTCTTTTAAAATTCTCTCTGGGTATCATATATTGGGTTTTACATTTAAATGAATGTATATATTTTTACCCAACCTAATTTTTTTCTTCTCATATTCATATGTTCTTATATTATTAATTTGAAATGACTTCTGATAATAATTTTGGCAGTTCTGAGATTCAAACACAGTATCCCACATATGCAAGGCAAGTCTTCTACTACTATGTAAGCTGCACATTAATGTATCTCTTTGAGTACACTTTAGGAAAATTTACCAACATCTCCCACAGAAATGACCTCAACTAGAGTTAGTTCATCATCTACCTTGCTGGTGAAGAGTGGAGGCCGGGTATCTGGTTCAGTGGGAGAGCATGTACTGAACATGTACAAAGCATTCATTTGATTCCCAACACTGAAACAATCCAGTTCGCCCATGTCTTTCCACTAGATTTAGTCACACCTTTTCTAGTGATATTTTTTCTTCCTTTCCTGCCTTTGTACATTTCTTTTATATCTATTAGGCTCTTGGTTTCTTTGGGCCCTGCTCCATCCATTCTTGACCTTTGGAAAACAAGAAGGGTTTAGGAAAAAAAATCCGGTAATGTGGCTTCTCTGTTTTGGCCCAATCTTGGTATCTTAGTTACTGTTCTATTTCTGTGATAAAACAGCATAACAAAGGCAACTTATAAAAGAAAGACTTTAATTGGGGGGTTTGCTCATGGTTTCAGAGGTTTAGTCCATGATCTCCTGACAGGAAGCATGGTGGCAGCATGGCGCTGGAGCAGTAGATGAGAGCTTACATTTGTAGGTAACAGTCAGAGAGAGACTGGACTGGAGTGGGCTTTTGAAATCTCAAAGCCCACTTCCAGTGGCACACCTCCTCCAACAAGACCACAACACCTAATCTTTGCCAAGTAGTTCCACCAACTGAGAACCAAACATTCAAATATATGAGCCTACTGGGGACATTCTCACTCAAACTACCACACTTGGGGAAAAAAATCCCTCAAGAAATTTGTAAGCTCAGACTTGAGTTTGCTCAGATTTGGAGTTTGAGTAACAACTTGTGGGTAGCCTGGAAACACCCACACTGAGAAAACAGCATAAGGGTAACATTTAAAGGGTGTTATTACTCCTACTATCTCAGAAGAAGTAGATATCAAAACCCTTCTCAGGAGAAATGAAAATAACTTCATAAAAACATGTAAAAACAGCATCTAGCCAGGCTTTGGTGGCGCATGCCTTTAATCCCAGCACTGGGGGGTGGGGGGTGGGGGCAGAGGCAGGCAGATCTCTTTGAGTTTGAGACCAGCCTGGTCTACAAGGGCTAGTTCCAGGACAGCCTCCAAAGCCATAGAGAAACCCTGACTCGAAAACCAAAACCAAAACAAAACAAAAAAAACAAAACAACAACAACAAAAAATCCAGCATCTAGCCGGATGAGACCACTTTCAAAACAAAAATCAAATACAGCCACTCAGAATCTACTAAGAGAGACTGCAAACACAAGAAATAGCAGAATTAGACCATGAAGAACTTCATATAATTATGTTGTGAAGACTACATTCTAAATTATTTATTTTAAACCATTAGGGACTAGGGGCAGGGAGAACACAGCTCTGTGGAAGAATGCCTGCTTAGTGTGTATGAGAACTTGGGTTTGTTTCTGGTTTTGTTTTTTGAAATGGGGTTTTGCTGTGCAGCTTGGGCTCATCTTTAACTTGCAGTCCTTTGGCCTCTCTAGTGTTGGGATTATAGGAATATACAACCATACTACTAGCATTGTAATATGGTGTGTCTGTGTGTGTGTGTGTGTGTGTGTGTGTGTGTGCGAGAGAGAGAGAGAGAGAGAGAGAGAGAGAGAGAGAGAGAGAGATATGACTCTTTAAAGTTTGAAGTTTGTCCTCTAACTTCCACATGCTTGCCAAACACATACTAATAAAAAAAAAAGATCTTAGTGTTTGGGCTGCTAAAACAAAAAGCTTTGGATCAGGTTACTTATAAATGATGAAAGTGTACAGTTTTACAGTCTGTTGAATTCAAGATCAAGATGTTAACAGATTTGATGTCTGGTGAAGACTAAGTCCTGGATTCAAAGATACTGTCTAACTCTGTGCTCACTGAATGGAATGGAAAAACATTCCACCAGGCTCCTTTTATAAAAGCAATGCCCTATTCATTAGAGCTTTGCTCTCATGGCCTAATCACGTCCCCAAGCCCTGTAATTTTCCATCTTTCTATTACAGGTTTAGAACTAGTTTGAAATGTGTAGGAGCAGCAGTGTTTTGGATAAGGGTTTCCCATCTGTACTGCTTTCTCTCAAGCATCTAAACATGCTTTAAAAAACCCCAAAATACAAAACAACCACCACCACCACCACCACCACCACCAACAACAACAACAACAAAAACATGCTCAAATCTCTTCCAGGGTTGGGCTCTCTGGAAGACTGAGTGTGAGCTTGTCCCTTGTCACTTTTATTGCCTTCCATTGCTTTCTCAGTCTATTTTATGATGGCCCATGATGCCTGGTACTCCTTGAAAGAGGGAAATCTTTTCTCTAAGATCATCTGTTGCCATGAATCACCAAGATAAACTATCATATCTGTCTTCATCTAGCTCCTCCTTTGATTAACTATAGCCACACATTGTTTAATAAAAAGACTAGCTCTCGGGAATGTACTGTTAGGTGATTTCATCTTTGTGTTTACCTCATAGTGTACACTTAAACAAACCTACATGGTGTAGGTCTGTCACTTATTCCACATGGCCTCTTTTTTTGTTTTTCTAGACAGGGTTTCTGTGTGTAGCCCTAGCTGTCCTGAAACATGCTCTATAGACTAGGCTGGCCTCAAACTCAAGCTGCCTCTGCTTCCTGAGTGCTGGGATTAAAGGCCTGCCCACTATGCCTCCTTCACATGATCTCTTGCCATAGTCAACAAACACTACACACAAACCACATAGGGATGCTCCTAGTGTAATGTGTGTGTGTGTGTGTGTGTGTGTGTGTGTATGTGTGCATGTGTGTGTTGTTTTTGAGGCAGAGATTCAGGAATCCCAGCCTGGCTTCAAACTTGCTGTGTAGTCAAGGATAATCCTGAACTTCTGTATCTTCTTTCTCCACCTCCTGGGTGTTGTGTTTATAGGGATGTGCCACCATCTTTAATCAGTGCTATGTATCAAGGGTTAGACTTCATAGGCTAGGCAAGCACTCTACCAACTGAGCCACATCCCCAGCCCAATGTAATTGTGTTATACAGTAAACATTTTTTTTTCTAGGTGGGCATAAGCATGAGGTCCAGTACCCACCTAAAATGGGTGTGGCTTTGTGTGCCTGTATCCTGTGCTGTGAGCAGAGACAGTATGATTGCTGGCTTAGTTGGAGCCTCGTTTAATGAAGGACAGTCTTGAAGGAATATTGAAGAGTGACAGAGCAGGACTCCCCATGTCCTTCTCTGGTCTCTGCGTGAATGTATATAGGCACCTGCATCTGTGTCTGCACACACATTCAGTCACATACTTCCCTCCCAAGCCAAATTAATATTATAATTTGTTATCTGATGAAAATCCAACTTGCATAACTCTCAGGAAACTAGTTTTTCTATTACTGCTTTTATATCATAACACTGATTTTGACTTATTTCAGAAAATTTGAAGAATCTGAAGATGAGCTGAGAAGTGAAATGATAGAATCCCTAGAAAAACTTGCAACTTCCACAGAAGAAAGGGAAGAGGCTCCCAGCTCCTCCAGTGCTGAAAAGCCAGGAGAGAAAGAAAGGATACACTTGCCTGTTTAGGAACTCTAGTGAAGGTCTAGAGTTTGGCCTGCCTAACTTGTATTGCTAAGGCTATAGTTCATCAAACGCAGTCAAAATGTGCAAGTATGAATAATGTATTTCTCATTACTGGGGATTCATATCCTTAAAGAAAAAATCCACTATCTTACTGAGTTTACACCCTTTGCCCTGATTATGCTCTTGAGGGACAACTCTGATGAAAGCTGTTTTTAGCTTAGCTCTATTAAATTGAAACTACTTGTTCATTTCTCTATGTGTTTGTCTTTAAAATAAAGTTTATTAGAAAAACATCAGCTTTGGCTATATATGGCAGCTATTACAATGGTCCTTGCTCAAATGGTAGTGAAACTCTAGTAACCCTTCCACTTCCCTTTTAGGTGTCTTGTAACATTTACATAGAGTCCAAGGGAACAAATAGTGATAAAATACTGGAACTGTTGTTTCCCAAAAGATAGGGTGCTCTTACACTTTGGGGTGAGTAGAGTTAAGAGGAAGGACAGTGGGAGAAATGAGCTGAATTGCAGAGACCAGTTTTCTTGTAGAAATTTGCAAAGGTTCCTATCATAGCTATGTAACAGAAGTAACTTTTCTGTTGTATTCACATGAACACAGATGTGCTCGCATTTATTTATCCATATCAAGGGTTTGGTGTCAAAGATACTTTTACATAATATTCTAAAACATATTATGAAAGTACCAATAATAACACTGGTACTTTTCATAGTTTTGCTTATATTATAATCCTGTAAAATACTCTGGAAATTATTAAAACAAGGTATATGGGGTTGGTGGTATATCTCAGAGGTGGGTTTGGCGTTCAACACCAAAACCAAGTTGTGAGATATAATTATTTCTAACTCACTTAAAGCATCTATAAAGGGCTGGAGGACTTCTTCCAGAGGATTCAGGACAATGTTCTCCCCTCGCACAAGGACTGTAGGCTATCCAACAAAATCCTTAGTACCAGGTATCAGAAACCTCCTTTTGAGTTGTTGGTCATGGGAGATCAAGAGACTTCTGAAACAGTATAGGTGATTGCTATTGCCTTTGTTACCTAACAGAGTTGAAGGTAAGTCCCTATTGCTGAAGACATCACACACTTTAGACACAAGACTTTCAGGATTCAAGGTGGAAAGCTTCCTCCTTGAGACCTAGATTTCATAATACCAGAAAGTGCCAAGGGAAGATAGCAATCATCCTGATCAGCTGTGATACCTATAAGCCACAACAATGACTGGCATAAGCTGTCTCCAAAGGTACAATAGTGGTACTTATATATTGGTGGAAACCAATAGCTGCCAAATTGGATGTCAGGTTCACTCAACAGAAGGGAAATCATGCCTAGCTAGTAAAGTCATGGATTTTGGAGGAGAATGTATTACTGCCACTTTCATAAGCCATCGTAATTCCTAACTGTATTTTGCTGTTTTATTTTTATTTTTTTATTTTTTTTTTCCGATACAGGTTTCTCTGTGGCTTTTGAGGCTGTCCTGGGACTAGCTCTTGTAGACCAGGCTGGTCTTGGAACTCACAGAGATCCACCTGCCTCTGCCTCCTGAGTGCTGGGATTAAAGGCGTGCGCCACCAATGCCCGGCTTTCCTAACTGCATTTTAAATAATTTATCCTTATACCCACAGGTAAGTGTAGTTTTCACTTCTGATCATAGAAGCTTCTTTTTGCAGCAGATGCAGACCAATACAGAAAGCTACATCTGGTCAACGTGTAGAGAACACCTATCTGTGGAGTGCTCAGTCCCAACTGATACATCCACAACACAACCCTTACACATAAGGTTCAGTGAACATTATAGAAGAGAGGGGCAGAAAGATTTTAAGAGTTAGAGGACCAGGTAGTCTGTTGCAATATTGTTCTGGATATGACAGCCAGGGAATCTACACCCACAAAATCTCAACACTATGCCTAAACAAGACCTGAACAATGACCACACCAGTTGATATGTCAAAGTGGATGAAGAAATCTTATATGGCTCAATCCCTAGATCAGTGGTTCTCAACCTTCCTAATGTTGTGACCCTTTAATACAGTTCCTCATGTTGTGACCACCAACCATAAAATTATTTCATTGGTATGTCGTAACTAATTTTTCTACTGTTATGAACCATAATGCAAATACTATGCAGGATATCTGATAATTGACCCCCCCCAAAAGGGTCTCAACCTACAGGTTGAGAGTCTCCTCCCTAGATTAAGAGCTATAGGGAATTAATGACTGCTGAGAAAGAATTAGTTCTCCCAAGGGATGAGCCCCTTAGTTGGTTATCCAATACCAGTGGCCATCCCTAAAAACAAATACAACACCAAAGGGATGCAGCAGGTTGCATTTACATATTTATTTGCATACATGTAGCAATAATAATTAAAGAAAAAGAGATAATGAATTCCAGAGGTAGGAAGAGTCTGAGGGAAAAGAAGAAGTGGAAAAATATTTTAATTGAATTAGAAATCACCCATCAGATTTAGATACAAGTGGATTTTGTATCAATAGCTCCACATCACAATTATTTATAAATATATTATACAAAGACTATGTAACATATACTTCACAGTTGTGCTATCACTCATTGTAGATAGGAATGTGAATCCCCACTGCTGTGGACTCAAAACAGAAGGCTTGGACCACTGAAAAATCACAACTGTAGAGGACTTAACAGCCTCTCAGAAGTTTCTTAGAAACAGTTAAAGATGAGCTTTGATATTTTGCACAGTACCTGAAATCTAGTAAAAAAAACCAAAAAACTTCAGTACCTTGTTAGGAACACAGAAAAGAATATACATGTAAACCGTATTTTATGCTTTGGATACATGAAAATAATTTTGAAGTTAGTGTAATAGTGTTAAGAAATCAAGAATCCTTTCTTTCATCACATCCTGTTTTCTTCATTCCAATTTCTGTAATCTTTGGTCCCATATTTTTGTGTGCATGGGTAGGCTGTGTGAGCTCTAGCCAAATATTACCTCAAAGACGAGCCATAAAATAACATAGTGGGCTGAGGGTCAGAACACCAGGTCATAACCCTGATTTTTGTTAGGTGGTCTTTAGCTCTTGGAGGAAGTACCATCAGCCCACATGAGAAAAGTTCATTAAAATTATTTATGCTTACTTATACACAGAATTACATGTATTACAGGTGGCTTTTTCAGACATTTTTATTTTTTCAGCCTCCCTCCTTTATTTACCTCCTTCTCCCTTCCCTAAAAGCTACCCTGACACCATTTCCCCAATCTAGTCACTGTATCTAGACTGTTGTTACTTTTACTAAAGCAATGCTTAATCTTCAGAGTAGCTTCATACACTTCACATCTTGTATCACAATTCTGAAGGTATTAATAGCTTGATTTCAGATGAAACACCCAAGAATCAAAAAAATTAAGGCTTAGCTTTAGTGTTAGCAGGTCAGATAGCTATAAATGGTGAAGCGAGGTCCAGCCCAGTATGCTAACTACCACCTGGCACTTTTTCCAAAATGCCATCTCACGATCCTTCACATTATAGGGGCACCATGATATGACACGATCAGTTTCAGAAAAGCAACTTAGCTTGATATTCTCTTGAATGCATTGAGGCTGACTTTCAGACTTAAGTGGGTGGGGCTGTTAAGGATAGAAACCCACAGAAAAGAGCTGTGGTAGGCTCTAAACAAAACCCAAATTCCACACAAACCTAGTTATGGGAAAGATTGTTGTCTGTGTTTTGACTTCAACCTACCTGTACACACCCAGGAAGAAATCAGTCATTCCATCTCTTGACTGATGCTTTGGAGTAGGATTAGAGTTGCCTGTTTGAAGCTGCTTTTTCCTTTTAAGAAAATTATTAGGTACACTTAAAAGGGTTAGCCATGCTGCTGTTTGCCAGGACTCCTGGGGTTGGGGGTAAAGCACTCACTGGTTAGAACACTTGTGTACCATGAGCATGGCTCCAGGTTTAATCTCTAAGTTCACCCCTCAAACAGAATTTATTCCAAAAATAGAAGAATAAATTTCAAAGTGCCAGCCAATTGATTATCTGCTGTTTCTCTTGGCACTTCCATTTTCTCTGGAGGGAAGTCTTTGGCTGAGATTGGCCCAGTGCATTCTGTGCTGCTGGGAATTCAAATGTCCCTGCTCTTGTAACATACTTTGAGGCTCTACATTCTATCTCCAGCATCATAAAACAAATACAAACCTAGCAAAAATTTTCTTCTAAAGTAAAGCGATTTGAAAAATAGGATGTGGGGCTTAGGATGTAACTCAGTTGGTAGAGTGCTTGTCTAGCTTCCTGAGGCCCCGGGTTCCATCATACACTGGACTTGTTTGTGCATTCCTACAACCTTAACATTCTGGGAGTGGAGGCAGGAGCACTGAAGGATTAACACAGGGAAAGGAAGAGATTAAAAAAAGTTAAAAGATGAGTATATAAAAATTTGATAATTTTTTTCTCTGAGATTTGCATTGTTCAGATTTTGAGACAAAATACTAATACACATTAAGCTACATGAGATTACTTTTTCCATACAGCTAATTTTGTCATTTTGTTAAATACTTCCTTGTGTATATACACATTGCTGAGAATATTGCTCAGGTTGTCTTTATTACAATACAGAATGCATTTAGAAAATATTTACATGTCACGATGTTTCAAAATGAAGCATTTCCTCTTTTTGATGTTGGATATGGAATGCAGGACCTTGCACACAACAATCACAGGTTCTACCTCTGTTCCACACCCTCAGCTCCATTTTGTAGAAATTATCTAGAATGTTACAAATTTGGCATTACGTAAGTAACTTCCCCACAGAAGACAGGAATGACACTTCAAACTCCTGGTCAGAAAACCTGCTCACAGACGCTCGAGCAGTCCTTCTGATTTGAAGCCTCTTTTCTGCAGATAGAGAGAGAATATGAGCTATGGTTTCAGCATAGCCTTCTTCACTCTCCGCCAGAAATCCAGTTATTTGTCCTTCATGAGGAATGACAATGTCAAGCTTTGGGCCTCCTGAATTGTGAGCAAGGATAATTGTGCCAGCTGCCATACACTCGACAATTCCTGAGAAAGACAACAACAAAAAAATACACAAGCCTTTAAGTTTTTGATGAACACAAACCTTAAAAAAACCCTGAGACCCAGAAACATTTGATTAAATATTTGTGAGTCTAGAAATTTGCTTATTTAACATGATATAAAATAAAACAATTATAAGGTTTTTTGTGTGTGCTTGCCTGTGAAGGTACCCATGCAAGCCAGAGGTTGACTTTGGTTGCTCTATTGTTCTCCACTGATTGTCCACACACTCAATGATTTTAGAGGTCACTGTTTTGTCAAGATTGTCTGGCCAATGAGCTAAAGATCCACTAGACCAGTGGTTCTCAACCTGTAGATTGAACCCCTTTTGGGGGGTGGGGGTCAAACAACCATTTCACAAGGGTCACTTAAGACCACTGGAAAACACAGATATTTACTGTTAATAATACTAGCAAAATTACAGTTATGATGTAACAATGAAAATAATGATATGATTGGGGGTCAACAGAACATGAGGAACTGTATTAAAGGGTCACAGTATTAGGAAGACTGAGAACCACTGCATTAGACTCTCCACCACTATCACCAGTGGTAGGTTCACAGGTATGCTGTCAAACATGCCTTTTACATGGGTGCTGGGGACTTAACCTAGGTACTATTGCTTGCACAGTGAGCAGTATACTCAGTGAGTTACCTCCTCAGCAACCATGCCTTTAAGCCTTTTAATCTTCAAAGTGTCATGATAATGCTGCTTTATTCTTGATTAAAACAGACAAGTAGATTGAGGTCTAATGAGCGAATTACCAATATGGAGTCAGGTGAAGATATTAGGGTATGTTTATTAGTTCAAGGTCATCCCTAGTTACACAACAAGTTCCATGCCAGGTTGGGCTATGTGAGACCCTGTCTCAATGGAGTGGGTAAAGAACATACTGCATAAAGTAGAAAACTATGCAATATTGCCAAGATGATACAGGATCAACATGTATCAAAAAGATAGAAAACACCAAAAGTAAAGTGTAAACAATCTTTGAGAACTAAAGTGTGCTGCTGCTCACAAAACACACAGCTGCCTGTGTTCAACAGCAAGGTGGAGTTGGGTAAGTTTTGGTTATTGCCTGCCACATGACGTATGTGAAGGTATAAATTACTCTATCCAGCCTTCCCTAGTTGTACTCTTTCACTTCCTTTCATAAAGAGACCTAGCAACGATGCTGTCTGTATTCACAGACTCCATGTGCTCTCTTGTAACTCAGCGCTCCATCTACCACAGTTCACCTATGCTTCTTGTTCTCTTACCAACTGATCTTTCCCTAGGACACTGATGGCCTCTTTCTTTCCTCAGTGTGCAGCCTGGGGCCCAGCTCCTTTCCTTTTTGTCACTAAGCCCCAGTTCCATCTTTGCAAACTACAGTCTGTGACAATTTCTGCAGCCTCCTTCTATCTGCTCACCTGTGCTTGCTCAGCTCTTTACTGAGGCTCCTCTTGCTCTCACTTTCCCCAGTGATCTTCGACACATCTGCAGCTGCCTGTGTCACTCTGTGTTAGTCAGGGGTCTCTAAGGGAACAGAACTGAAAGACTAAGTATATGAATTCAAGGATTTATTAGAGTGACTTACAGCCTTAGTAGGGGTTTCTAGAACAACCACAGGAACTGTGGTGGTTGAAGAATGTTCTCCAAAAGCTCATGTATTTGAATATGTGGTTCCTAGTGGGTGGAATTGTTTGGGAAGGACTTACGAGCTGTGGTCTTGGAGGAGGTGTGTCAGAGGAGCAGGACTAGGAGCTGTGGTCTTGGAGGAGGAGGTGTGTCAGAGGGGCAGGACTAGGAGCTGTGGCCATCAGAGGGGCAGGCCCTGACATTTCAAAAGACTTGGCACCATTCTCTGCCTCTCTCTGACTCCATGCTGTGGATTAAGATGTGAGCTTTCAGCTGTTTTCTGCCCCCATGCCTTTGTGCTACTAATATGGATTCTATCCCTGAAACCATGAGCGCTCAATGTTTCTTTTATAAGTTGCCTTGGTCATGGTGTTTGTCACAGCAATAGAAAAGTAACTAAGACAAGGACCTTAATGAGTATCTTGCAGCATCACACAAACTTGTTGGAAAGAAAAACTCACCAATCCCAAAATGCTCATTCCACATGGTATGCAGCCCAATTGTTGCTTCAGATAGGTAATTCTTCAATTCATCAAATGAAATGTTTATTTTAAATTCCACATTTTCTTGGACTCCCAAATTCTCAGATAGTTTTCTCAGCTGGCTTACTCGAAGCTCATCATCTTTGTTTCGACACCCTCCAATAAGGACAAGTTTAAGTGAAGGGTGTGACTCAGCTGCTTTCTCATTTAACATCTTAGCAAAGGCTTTGATCTGTAAAGCATGATTCTTTTCAGGCCTGAACTGGCCAATGGAAACCAGCAAATGTCCTGGGGTCACCTTTTTCTCACGTAAGGGGATGTCCAGAAATGTCTGCACATCACAAGGTGGATAAACAATGTTAGTGCAATGGCCAACTTTCCACAGTGAGAGAATATGGTTTAGTGTCCAAGAAGAATTCACCATGACTACATCACTGCAAGAACCAACAAGACCATAAACAAAAGCAAACAAATAGTAATAGATGAGCTTTGCTTTGCTGAGAAGAGCATTTCTGCTAATGAAAGCTGCATTATTAAATCCAGTGTTTTGATTCTTCACTACAGAGAGCATGTCAGTGCTGATAGTGGGGTAGTGGACATAGCTCCCAACTCGGCAGCCCCCTATGTATTTAAACAGAGGCAGTGTGAATGCATATCCCATTGAATCGATGTAAACATCAGGAACACGCTGTGTCAGAGCTTCCCAGCCAAGAAGAACAGATCCGAGGCTTTGGCCTAGCAATGTGAAGTGGGGATACCGAGAATCCTCCACAAGGTGGCGTTTCCTTAAGAAAACAAACTGCACTGGGTGAGTTAACTTGATGTTAAATCTTCTGACAGCACCTTCTAGTATCTGTTGACCACTGACATTAATGTCACCAGTATATACAACATAAACGGCTTCAGGATACCTGAAACAAAATGTAATTTAGGTTAAACCTAAGCCAAACATTACAATTTCCTCATAGTCACAAGCAAGCTTATTTTTATACTGAAAACATTTTCTACCCTTTTTCATTTACTGCATTTATACTACTGACTCTACCCTTCCTTGAGATTTTTACTCTTAATTTTTGAAATGACCATGTGCTGTAGTTTGATTGTCACCTGCAAATTCTGCAGTTGAAATCTAGTCTCTAGTTGAGTGGCACAAAAAGAAAGGGACTCAAAATGGGATTAATAGGAATTGTATCTTTTTAAATTTATTTTTTGCTGCTGAAGACTGAACCTTGTATAGGTGTAATGTTCACTTCACCCCTGAGCTACACTCAGACCCTTTGTGGTACCTTATAAGAGGACTAAAGGAGTCTGTTCACTCCATCACAACATCAAGATGCAGCAAGCAGTGGCTACATATGAAGTGAGTCACATCCTTTGGCTCTGGATTGTGGATTTCCCAACCTCTGGAATTACGAACAATAAATTTCTCTTGTTTATAAACCATCCAGTCTAAGGTATTATGCTACAGTCATTTGATGAGACTAAGATATCATGTCATCTAATTATTTGCCATTTCTTCTACTATGGGTTTTAAATGGAGCAAATTCCAACAGTAACTTCTGACATATGAATGAGGTTTTCACTTTTAGGAAATATTAAAAAATTTATTTTAAGTAGTTTAGCTAGAGAGCACTTGCTCATCATGTACAAGGTCCTGAGTTCAACCTTTAGAACCACAGAAAATAAAAAAGCTAAAGTGTGTGTGTAGTGGGGGAGGAGTGCTGATAGAATGTGTTAGATCCCTTAGGGCTAGAGCAGCAAGCACTCCAAACTGCTAAGCCACCCTTCCAGCCTTGACAGAATCATAATTCTAAAGCATTACTTAGTATTTTCCCCCTTATTTGTAATACCTCCTTTAGAAATTAATTCCTGGCTCTGGAAACATGTCTTGTGGTCAAGAGTATTCGCTGCTCTTATAGATGACCTGGGTGCGGTTCCCAGTACCCACATGGCAGCTCATAAGGATCCAATGACCTCTGTGGGCAGTGCATGCATATCGAGCACTTTATACATGCAAGTAATAATAAGCATAAAATAAAAAATTATTTTAAAGTAGTTATAAACATATTGTTCCCTTTTTTGGTACCCCAATTTTCAGTCAGACTTCCTCAGTACTTAACTAATTCTAATGTAGCAAATTCTCTTAAACACATTATAAGTAACATACATATATATACACACACATATATACACACACACATATATATACACACACATAATTATATCCTGATTATACTAAACTACATTAATATTTATTAAATTACACAATAGTGTGTTTGTTTGTTTTTTTTTTTTTCCGAGACAGGGTTTCTTTTTGTGTAGCTTTGGAGCCTATCCTGGCACTCGCTCTGGAGACCAGGCTGGCCTCGAACTCACAGAGATCCTCCTGTTTCTGCCTCCCGAGTGCTGGGATTAAAGGCGTGCGCCACCAACACCCAGCTCACAATAGTGTATTTTATACAGTGTATCCACACAAGTGTGAGGACCAGTGTTTACAACCCCTGAAGCCACATAAAAGTGGCAGCCATTGGGTCAGGTGGTGGCAGCGCCCACCTTTAATCCCAGTACTCGGGAGGCAGAGGCAGGTGGATCTCTGTAAGTTCGAGGCCAACCTGGTCTACAGAGCAAGTTTCCAGGACAGGCTCCAAGGCTACAGAGAAACCCTGTCTTGAAAAACCAAAATGAAAACAAAAAAAAAAAAAAAAAAAAAAAAAATAGTGGCAGCCGTGTGTAGCCCCAGCACTCTGGAAGGCAGAGACATGGGATTCTCTGGGCGATTTGCAGGATTTCTGAGGTCCAGGTTCAGATACAGATCATGCTTCAATAAAAAGCAGAGAGCAACTGAGTACGACACACAGCATCAGCTCTGGGCCTCTACATGCATGAGCACAAAAGCATACACAAATGCTTGCCCAAACTATATGCTTATTTCATTTCTTGTAAAGATTGCAAATTTTTCTCAGTTAAAAGCATGCCAACTAAGGAAAAAGTTACTTGCATTTAAGACAATTTGGGGTTGTTTTTCTAAGGGGATCTGGGAATATGTTCTCACCTAGATAGGTTTCATACAAACCCCAGAGATTTTTATGTTTTTGCGTACTTTTACAAAATTATTTTCAGCTGTACATATTGGTGCACGCCTTTAATCTTTCCTTTAGAGGCAAAGGCAGGCAGATCTCTGTGGGTTTGAGGTCAGCCTGGTCTACATTCCAGGATAGCCAGAGCTATATAATGAGTCCCTGTCTTGATAAAACCAAGTAGAAATAAATAATTTTCTACACTGTTACCACACACAGACACACAAAGATCGTACCCCTTGCCCCCATATCTTATCACCTTCCCTGTCCTAACAAATCTTTTTTTTTTTCTACCTTCATGTGTTTTCTGGTGTGTGGGTATTTAACTAGGGTTGCCAGTGTGAGCACAAGTGGAGACTCACTTTTTTTTTCTTTAACAAGGGCAACTTACTAGTCCTACAGCACAGAGGACTGTAAGTCCCTCACCTCCAGCAAACATTAACTGCCTTTAGCTTCTCATGAATGGGTGGGCCCTTAGGAGTCCCTCTCCATCTAGGATGGGATGTTGAAGGGTCTAGTCTCATATAGGTTTTATTCATGTAGTTTTTAAAAAAAATAAAAATCTTTATGTGTGTTGGTACAAAGGTGTCAGATCCCCTAGAACCAGAGTTATAGACAGTTTAAAACTGCCTTGTGGGTGCTGGGATTTGAACATGGGTCCTCTAGAAGAGCAGTCAGTGCTCTTAACCGCTAAGCTATCTCTCCAGTCTCATGTAGCTTATCTGAGAAATAAGAGCATGTTTTAAAAGCTAGCCTTTTTTTCCTTTTGAGAGGTGTTTCTCCTTATGTTGCCCAGGCTGGCTTACAACTTCAGGGCTCAAATAATCCTCCCGCTTTAGCCTCTAGAGAAGGTGGGATGACAGCTGTGTAACACTGTGCCAAAACTAAAATTCACTATGCTCTTAGGAGACCAGCAGTGCAGTGTGTTAGCTAAGAAAGATGCATACCTACTTTTTCTGCAGGGCTTTCAAAGCGCACCAGAGAACTCTTTCTCCTCCACCGCCAGCATTGCAGTAAGGATGGAAAAATGCAACCACCATTTGTTCTTTTCCATTTTTGCTGGTTGAGACTGACTTTTTCTTTCTCTGTAGATGTCTCCTGACTATCCAAAGGACAATGACCAAACATACACACAGAACTCCACATATAATCAGTCCAGGAAAGAATAGTGAATAAAAAAATCTGAAATAAATAAAAGGTGAAAAATCAACCTGCTGTCAATTTAAAAATAAGGCTACAAATTACATATTTGCTTAATATCTTAGTATCAGAGAGAATTTCTGTAGCTTATAAGTCTGACAACAAAATATCCAATTATTGGATGGGGTTGGGGGTAGGTTGGGGATGGGAGAGGAGGGATGGGGGTGAGGGGAGGGAGAGGGACAAGGGACTTACATGTGAAACAAGCTTGATCCCTAACTTGAATAAATACATTTTAAAAAATGGATCAATAAAAAAGCTTCAACTGTTGGGGACAATGACAGACTCTTTAGTTTGAAGTAATAAAAGATTTTAATATTCTGGTGTAATAAAAAAATATCCAATTATTTTTAATACTCTTTCCTCCCCCTCCAGTGGTGACTGAATTCATTGCCTCATACATGCCAGGTAAACATTTAGTTCCTAGCCAATATTTACCCATATTTAAATTAAAAGGCTTTAAAGACAGGTAACTACAATCTAAAGTTATGGATTACTCATCAAATCACCGTTATAATGCAGAAAGTTAACCACTATAATGTACACAGTACACAGCTGGAGGCAACCCATACAGCAGGGGGAAACAATAATGTGCTAGAGCAAATTAGCCTTTTGTTTTGTTTTTGTTACAGGGGTTCTGTGTAGCTTTGTAGACCAGGCTGATCTCAAACTCACAGAGATCCGCCTGCCTCTGCCTCCTGAGTGCTGGGATTAAAGGCGTGCGCCACCATCGAGGCAGCTGCTAGCTCTAAAATTTCAACCTGACAAAGTACAAAGGTGTTGACGGAACTTCAGTAGGCCATGATAAGTTAGGAACATCTTTTGAAATACGCACCTATAACAACAGTGCTAATCCCCGGGTGGTTAGCATTCCTATTTATTATTTCTATTCCCTAATTTTTACACAGAAAACGATATTTTATCTTTAAAATTGTATTCATAATTTAAACATCAAACGGGAAAGAGTAAGTCAACAGATGGTCAAGCAGCAGAGAATTAACCAAGCGGTTTATGAAGCAGAGAGAGAAGCAGCAACGACGGGTTAAGGAACCAGCTGCTCGGCCAGTAGCGAGGCAGGCGTAACATCCGGGGTAAACTGAGGCACGACGAAGACAGCTCTCCGGCACAGTCTAGCTGGGCTTCCCCAAGTACGTCCACCAAGGAGGGGACACCCCGTGAGTGCAGGCCACCAAGCTCCTCACCTCAGCAGCGTGTAAAGGCGCCAGCTCCCGGTGTCCGCCGCCATCTTGCCCACCCACAACCTTGCAGCCCGGAAGCGCTTGGCTGTTCTTCTTCTCTATTGGCTCCAGCGGAAGCGTGCGATATAGCCACGCCCCTCCTCCCAACACGCCTTCCTACGGGCTGCCAAATAGCCGCTTCCCACATGGGCCCGCCCACTTGGGCCGCACCACAGTGGTAATGGGCGTGGGGGAGCCGGGGGCGTGGCCTGTGATGGATAAGTGGGTTCCCCTGACCTCGACCCCCCTCCCCCCGCAACCTTCCAGTCTGGAAGCCCCCTTTCGGGCGTGCCGCCCCGCCCCCACCGCGGAACTGGCAGCCAGTTGGGACCCAATGGGAGGTTCGGGCGGGCGGCGAGC